AAGTTATACATTCTAGTTCTCGAAAAATTGAAATATGACTGCTTTAACTTAGCAGGTCAATTCTAGCTATAATGTCCAGAAACTGACAGTTGGTTGTCACATGACTAATATCAGAATTTATTATCTGGGATTCAAGATTTTTTTTTTACATTTTATTAAAGCCAATCTCCATGTTTACTGTCACCTTAATAGTTTGTTTGGACCAAGCTGTCCAAACAAACTATTTCCTTCACTGAGTGGCTCCCTGACATCAGGCTCCCTGACTTAGCCAACCAGAGGAAGCTTTGCATTCAGTCACAGAATAGAAAGCTGCCTATGAATGGCTCAGCACTATGCCTTCTCTCTCCTTTGCCCGCTATCATACCCCACTTCTTTCTCTGTCAACCCCAAACCATGGTCATCACACCTGTACCTCTACTTTTTCACTTCCACCTGTTCTTGACCAGCTCATAGTTTGCCCACTCCCTGCTTCCCCTCCACAATCATTTACTTTCTGGCTTCTACTCTCCCCAACATTGACTAGTTTATGGCCTGTATCTTCTCTATTTCCTCTGTGATTACCCCCACTATTGTTCCTGTGCTTTCACTCTTTTTTTTCATGTGTTTCCTTTACTGTATGTCTCCCTGATCCACAGACTGCTCTTTATTTCCTCTCTCTCTTTTCTTCCAGTGTACTATGATCAATCCCTTTCTGCCTGCATTACCCCCTACTCTATGATCAGTTATTATATTACTCTGTTCTCTTTTACCCCATGATAAGCCTGCTTGACCAAGTAGTATGTGTACAGCAAAAATATTATCGGATTGGACAGTTGTACTTGCCAGTTATGAATTTCGCAAAGGTAAACAAAACCCCAAACATTCATTTTTGCCTTAATTGTTTTTTATACAGGCATGCTTTTTCAAATTATTATTATGTCAATTAAAACTATATCTGAAATATAAACAGGTAGAACAGCAACCTGAATAAACAGTTAATTTGTGCTGAATACAGAAAGTTTATTCAGCTTACCTTAATATAAATTATGTCTAAAATCAAAGTGCAGCCAAAATAAAAACACCATAAAAATCAGCACAAGGGACATAACTTACAATAAGTAGGATGTGTCTCTTATGCTCATGCATGTTCTTTTAGGTAAAACCTTCCTCCTTCCATGCCCCCCCACCCTCGCCACCATAACCTTTGGCTGCGGTGGGCTCTTATCAAGAGGGGCTGTCACAGGCTCTTATCAAGAGAGCCCAACTATGCCTTCTTTCCGCCTAGCTTTTCATTCATAGAAGCCATACTACAACATATAGAAAGGAAACAGGATCTATGAATGGAGGATGAGCGGATTATGTCCATCCCCCTTATTCATAGATCCTGTATCATTCATACATGGGAGATGGTAATCTCTGGGAAGATTCCAAAGTATTTAGGGAGCTATTTTAATTTTAAACACATTTCCAAAGAAACAGGATAAAACAATTGAGAATTCAAAAAAATCAATAGATTAAAAAAAATACAGTTAGTGTAAAAGGATATTTTATTATTAAACTTTAGAGCAGACCAGTTCTAGATTGGGAGGGCACGTTGCAACATGGTGTAACCCCTGCTGCTACACTTACTGATAATGTATCCCTTCTCTTCCCATGACTGTTATATTTGATTGACTATGACATGAGTTTCATTAGACTGGGTTAGGTTGAAACAGGACAAATTACTTGAATCCTTTGAAATAATAAATCCTGACATAACAAGGACATTTTGCTATTCATCTGCAATCATTTTGGTTGCAAAGCTCTAGAATTATGTAAAAGCGGAGGAGCACAATGCAGTAACACACAGTGACATACATACCTTTGGTAACATTTTAGTTTGTCATTTCTCTGTGTGCTGCATTGTAAAAATTCAACTTGGTTCTTGGTTTCTGACAAACAAAATATACTGTATACTATAAACTTAATAATTATACATTAGGTCCCTTTCACACTGCGCTGATGCAGTTTACCCACAGCGTGGGTGCATTGCAGTGTACCCAAGGTTTTTGTGTCGGTTACCTGTGCTTTCCTATTGACTTCTATTAGATTGGGCATTTTTTGGTGCTTCTGAAAGCATACCAAAGAAGCAGCATGCAGGACTTTTGGTGCGGTTTCAGAAAATGCTCCAAAAATACCTGATCTAATAGAAGTCTATGGGAAAGTGCAGGTAACCTGCACGAAAATCACAGGTACACTGCGCTGCACCCTCAGTCTGGGGAAAGCCCACCGGGGCAGTGAAACCATTTTATGTTCTCTTTCAAGGTAGCATTATATACAGACTTCTTACATATGTTGTGATTAAAGCTGAACTCTATACAGATGTACTGTAAGGCACACAAATTAATACAGCTCTTTATTTATTTCTACCTCGTGAAATGCATTTATATGAATGCAAGCAGTGAAATAACCTGAATTTGGCTTGGCATCAGCTTTGTGTAGCACCCATGCAGCAGATCTTCAGATTGAGAGACTGGAGCATGCTTTGGAGCATGTTGATAGGAGGAGAGAGTAGAGGGACAGAAAGGTCTACTGCTTCTCCTTTCACTGTTCTATCACAGGCTGCAGGTGCGGATAAGACCTGTGAGTGTTAGCAGTGCTGAATTACCAAATAGGCAGAATAGGCATTAGCCTATGGGTCCCATGCTGCTAAAGAGCCCTCCAACAATGGATCAAAATAATGTTGATTTGATCTTAAAAGAAAACAACAGTGAAGCTTTCTTTACCGCTTCCCATCTGCCCTAAAGCAGTGATACTGCTACAGGGCGGCACGAGTGTGCAAAATCATGTATATATATATATATGTGTGTGTGTGTGATTTTGCATTTCCGGGTAGGGGGCACATGTGATCCGCGTGCGCACCCTACCCGCATCATTATTCGCGGCCTCGACTGTCAATCACCGTGTCCCAGCCCTTGATTACTCACTGTCATCCGGTGATCAAGGAGCATTGCCGACGGAGGGAGAGAACTGTAAGTAATCAATGTAGTTTTCTCCCCTGTCAGCTCCTGCACACTGCTATGCATGGCTTTTTCCTGCTCAGTGCCATTAGTACAGTGTCAGTGCTTTTTATTAGCACTGATCACTGTATTGGTGTCACTGGGGATGTCAGTGACACCAAGTCAGTTCCCTCCGTCAGAATGCCAGCTGCAGTTCCACAGTCCCGAAATTGTTGATCGCCGCCATTACTAGTAAAAAAAAAAAATAGAAAAAAAATCCCAATATATACTGTATACTGCCATTTGTAAACGCTATAGCTTTCACGTAAACCAATTAATGTACACGTATTGGGATTTTGTTTTAGCAAAGATATGTAGCAGAATACATTTTGGCCTAAATTTATGACAAAATTTGATTTTTTAAAATTTTTTACTGGACATGTTTAATAGCAAAAAGTCAAAAATTTTCTCAAAATTGTTGGTCTTTTTTTTTTATAGCACATAAATAAAAAACGCACAGGCTATCAAATACCACCGAAAGAAGGCGCTTTTTGTGGGAAAAAAAGGACAAACATTTCATATGGGTGCAGCATTGCAAGACCGTGCAATTTTCAGTCAAAATAATGCAGTGCCATAACGCAAAAAATAGCCTGGTCAGGAAGGGGGTAAATCCTCTGGAGGGCAAGTGGTTAAATTGTTTACAAAAGACAGAAAACAATAAGTCAATTCAAAGAGACAAAAACTTTACAACAAAGACTCTATAGAGAAAATACTGTATTAATGTAATGTACCCAATAACAACTTAAATGCTCATGCCTGACAAAGGGGCCTGCACAGCTCCGAAACAGTGCACTGTGTCCTCTCTGATGTGATCATTCTTCAATAAAGATTTGGATGCTATTCAACGATCCGAGGTGTGCTGGCGAATATGTGCATTTGAGTTTAGCACAAAGTTTACTCCGGCATGTGATTTTTGCTTAACTTTTGAGGGTCTACCTTACGGCAATCTCAGGGACCGCCGCGGCGATGGGCCCAGCGCAGGCGCAGTGCGCCGCTTCACACAGGAATGCGGGCACTAGGTCCGGGCCGGCCGCGATGAGCCCACGCATGCGCAGTAAGTGACGCAGGTGCGCGCCGGGCACCAATGACAGCACAGGGCGCGGTATTTAAATCGCCCTGAGCTGTCATTGAGTGCCGTTCGGTCTATTTCTGTTCCTGTGTTACCTGATTTGCTGTCAGTACTTACCTGGATTGTCTGACCTTGCTGCCTTCTCCTGCCCTGACCTCTGGCTTGCCTGACTTCTCTTTTGTATGCCCCCTATGTGTTCTGATATACTGTTGCTGACCTGGCGTGTGACCTGACTATTCTCTGCCCGCTGTTTTCTACCTCGCATACCCCACGGTTCCCGACCCGGCTTGTTTGACCCTGCACCTGCTCAGCCATCCATCCCGTCAGGATCTCCCGGCCTCCTCACATCAGGCTCTTCCCCTGCGGGAGCCCTTGGCGGATACCTCTACCAGTGGTGAGTGTGCCCAGTAATCGCGACCTGATCTCAGAGCGCTCCAAGTCCATCCCCACCATCAGGGGCCCTGGTGAACAAGTGCTCTGGGACTTAGATTCCGTGCTCTGGAAGCACCTCACCGGTGGATTGATAGAGGTACTGCCGGGTGGTCCCTTACAGGCTGTTAGTATTTTTAAAACCACGTAGAAAAAAAAATGCACCAAGCATGAACTGCTATCATTAAAGGAGAGTATAGGAGACCCTGCTGTGTTTTAATCTAATCCTAATATTTCTCTAAAAAGCCTCAGTATGGCATATGATTTGGGGCATTTTGCTATGCACATGCGTATCTTTGTGTGCATAAGTTCAAGTTTTCCTATGACAGAAAAGGATAAAGGATATTTTGACATGCTACTTACCGTATTTTTTGCTCCATAAGAAGCACTTTTTTCCACAAAAAAAATGGGAGAAAATGTCTGTGCGTCTTATGGAGCGAATATGGAGTGGCCAGACCGGTATTCCCACTGCCGCCGTGTTAGAATACCGGGCCAGCCGCTTGGCTCTTCTGTGCAGAAGAACCTGCTCCTCAGTCCTACCTGCTCCTCGGTCCTACCTGTTCCTCAGTACAGCAGTGTCCTGCTTTCAATGTCCGTCTTCTCTCCCTGGCGCTGGCATCTTCAGTGTGGGCATCCGGCTGTGAAGCCGCAAGCTGTCACAGCCAGGTGCCCACTGCGCATGCGCTAGAAGCACTGCGCTTTGTGAATGGCCACCTGTAGTCTTCTTGGACCTGTCACATGTCCCTCAAGACTACGGGGAGGACAGCTCCGTGGAAGTGGGAACGGATACCTGTCAAATTTGGGTACCCGCTCCCCCCCCCCCGCTCCCCAAAAGGTCTGCAGTCTCTGGTCATCTCCTGTACCATGCCTGCAGTCTCAGGTCATCTTCTGTACCATGTCAGCAGTCTCTGGTCATCTCCTGTACCATGTTCACAGTCTCTGGTCATCTCCTGTACCATGTCCGCAGTCTCTGGTCATCTCCTGTACTATGTTTGCAGTCTCTGGTTATCTCCTGTACTATGTCCACAGTCTCTGATCATCTCCTGTGCCATGTCCATAGTCTCTGGTCATCTCCTGTACCATGTCCGCAGTCTCTGGCCATCTCCTATACCAGTGATGGCGAACCTTTTTGAGCCCGAGTGCCCAAAACTGCAACACAAACCAACTTTTTTATTTCAAAGTGCCAACACTGCAATTAACCACTTGCTTACCTGGAGGCACTGACAGACGTCACTGATCGGCGGCACTGCTGGGCATCATTGATGGGTGGCACTGATGGGCAGCACTGATGGGCGACACTGCTGGGCACTGACAGGTGGCACTTCTGGGCAGCACTGACAGGCGACACTGCTGGGCACTGATGGATGACACTGCTGGGCATCATTGATGGGCAGCACTGCTGGGCATCATTGATGGGCAGCACTGCTGGGCACTGATGGATGACACTGCTGGGCACTGCTGGGCATCATTGACGGGTGGCACTGATTGGCGACACTGCTGGGCACTGACAGGTGGCACTGCTGGGCAGCACTGACGGGCGACACTGCTGGGCACTGATGGATGGCACTGCTGGGCATCATTGTTGGGTGGCACTGCTGGGCAGCACTGACGGCAGCACTGCTGTGGAGCACTGACAGGCGGCACTGCTGGGCATCATTGATGGGTGGCACTGATGGGCAGCACTGATGGGCGACACTGCTGGGCACTGATGGATGACACTGCAAGCAGTTAATCTCACTTCTGGCAGCGTCGGTGTGGCTTCCAACCCAGCAGCTCATTCCCATCCACGCTGAACACGTTGCCCCTGGCCCAGGAGCAGTGTGGGAGCCTCTTCCTGTCTTCCACGCCCATCCCCGGCTACATCACCCCTGGTGCCAGAGCCGCATTGGAGCCGTTTCCTCTCGTCCACACCCACCCTGGCCCTAGAGACATGTGGGAAATGTAGTTTGATGGGGGTCCAGTGTGGACGAGATCTGGATGGCCGGTCCGTGTGCGCTCATCTTCCTCTTGTTCCTGACGTTCCCACTGAAATGGCTCTGTGTGCCAGCTCTGGCACGCGTGCCATAGGTTCGCCATCACTGTCCTATACTATGTCCGCAGTCTCCGATCATCTTCTGTACTATGTCCGCAGTCTCTAGTCATCTCCTGTACCATGTCCGCAGTCTCTGGTCATCTCCTGTACTATGTCCGCTGTCTCTGGTTATCTCCTGTACTATGTCGTTGTCTCTGGTCATCTCCTGTACTTTGTCCGCAGTATCTGGTCATCTCCTGTACCATGTCCGCAGTCTCTGGTTATCTCCTGTACTATGTCCGCAGTCTCTGTTTATCTCCTGTACTATGTCCACAGTCTCTGGTCATCTCCTGTAGTATATCCGCAGTCTCTGGTCATCTCCTGTACCATGTCCGCAGTCTCTGGTCATCTCCTGTACTATGTCCGCAGTCTCTGGTTATCTCCTGTACTATGTCCGCAGTCTAGTCTCTGGTCATCTCCTGTAGTATGTCCGCAGTCTCTGGTCATCTCTTGTACTATTTCCGCAGTCTCTGGTTATCTCCAGTCTCTGGTCCGCATCTCCTGTACTGTTTCCGCAGTCTCTGGTTATCTCCTGTACTCTGTCCGCAGTCTCTGGTCATCTCCTGTACTATGTCCGCAGTCTCTGGTCATCTCCTGTACTAAGTCCGCAGTCTCTGGTCATCTCCTGTACTATGTCCGCAGTCTCTGGTCATTTCCTGTACTATGTCTGCAGTCCATTGGTTTAGAAATTTTTTTTTCTTGTTTTCCTCTTCTAAAATCTAGGTGCGTCTTATGGTCAGGTGCGTCGTATGGAGCGAAAAATACGGTAGCTTAGTAAATGCATACATCATTGCTTAGAAGCCAGTTAAATTATTAATTGTATTTTTTTTTAAATGTTGCACTGATTCCGTAATGTCCCATTTAGGAACATGTGTCACATAATTAGCACTGTATGCATTGAACACCAGTGTACCACCAAGTAGACAGGTTCAAGGATTGCAGTCACTATGTGCAGAGACATACTGCAATGCAATCATACTATAATGATTTAGTAAATCAACTCCCATCATCTGAGTGTGCACTGTATGAGCTGAGACAATTAACAGGCAGCAATTGACTGACTTCAAGTGACCTCTGACCCTTTGATATTCCCAGGAAAGTATCAGGTTTAGGCCACTTGCACACGATTGTAATAATTTATTAATGTTCATATGCAGGATCCTGCTGGCAGAAATATTTTGATTAGAAACACAAATTATATTCCATAAGCATAACCTGTTCCATCCTTTTCTAGCTGCCTGTGTTTCAATTTACATATATACACTCATATACACAAATATACACGCATACGCTTAAATTATTAGCTTTTTCTGCCTGGCCTTAGACTACGTATGCAAAGTTAAATCAAGGAGAAACAATTCTTTTCTATGCAATTCTGCAGAAGTATATTCATTTAAGTGTTACTAAACCCACAACAGTAAAATCAGTCTGTATATGCAGTAAAGCATGCTTGTTATACTCACTTTGGAACCTAAGGGGTTAATGTTTCAAATTGTGTAAAAAGGTTGCTTGATCCTACCTACTCTGATCCTCCTGTTCTTCTGCTGCCCCCCAATCCATCTGCTGATAGTACAAAGTTCTAGGCTTCTAGGAGCACAAGCTCAGTTTAGTGATTGGACACCGAACACCCGGCAGGGCCTCATTTGCTAGATGGCGCTACACCCACACATTAAGTATATATTCAATATAAAAAACACTAAAGCTACCCAGGTGTAAAATAAACTTAGTGGAAAGAAATGTGACACAATATAAAAAACAGTTTTGCCAGTAAACTACTGGCCAACCATTTAGTACATTATATAATATCACATATTTTCATATTGTGTCACATTTCTTTGCACTAAGTTAATTTTACACCTGGGAAGCTTTAGTGTTTTTTATATTGAATATATATTTAATGTGTGGGTGTAGCACCAGTTAGCAAATGAGGCCCTGCCGGGTGTTTACTTTATCAATCCAATAATCAATCTGAGAGATCTTTATTTTATTATATACTTATTGTTTATGTCGTAAAATTGTGATTTAGGTGGGTGGGGATTATTTTAATTTTATTTTACCACTCAAGTATTGATCTTTAGAATATTTTTAAAATATCTTGCACTTTATATTGGACCTATAGCACAACATCATTTATTAGTTTTGATTTTCTTTTGAGTGGTGGAACACTTTTGGTGTCTGCAGCTGTATTTTGGTTGAGTTTTTCTTTTCTGAGACAGTGCATAAGATTTTTGTCTTATCCAATGTAAAATTGTAAAAGCCTGTGCATTGCACCCACAATTCGCTGATCAGGGTTGAAGTGCTCTGCAGGCTTTAATGCAAACATTGTTTCTTTCTTTTTTTTATGTTGGTGCATTTATTATTTTTTTTTTTGTATCCCCTGCTATTTGGCAGGGCTGTGTAAATGTGAGGAATAGATAAAAAATACAAACCCTATGCCAGGAAAACAGCTCTCATATTATAAAGTATGTATTTCATCTGTGTATTTAGTTGTTTGCCTGGAGTTCAGCTTTATCAAAAGTTTCTGCTCATCTGCCAAGGTCTAGCTGGCATTTGCCCTGTATATTGTGGGTTGTTTTTTTTGAACGTGCTGTTGGTAGTGTTGCATATTGAATTGTACTTTATGAATTTTTAATTTAAGTTTAAAAACCTCAGTCTGCCAATGTGAGTTTATTTGAAAGGAGGATAAAAGGTAATAATAGAAAATATCTTCAGGTTCATTTATCATCTATTTGAGAGAGATCCATGTGTCCCCCTAGAACTGAAAAAGCTTTATAAGCACAAAATGCCATATACGATCATGTAAGAAAGCTAGGCAATGCATGAAGATGAGAAGAAACATTAAAAAAGCACCTAGGTCTTCAGAAGAGTAATTCAGTTATATTAGTTCAGCTCAAAACCAAGTTTACCTAGCTGGAAGAAAATGTACAATACTGTATGAGAAGTGCATTTGACTGGTTGTTTGTGACGTACATCTATTTATGTTCTCTCACTTTATCTCCTTTATCTCTCTCCCTCTAATGTATTGTTGAATTAGTTTTTAGTAGTAGGTGAGTATACCTAAATAACCATCAAAGCTTATTTTAAAATAACAACTAAGCTTTTAAGAAAAGACCATCACAAGGTTTGTAAACCACTACATTAGTTGGCTTGTAATCAATTGTACTGAAACCTGTTTTATTAAAATCAACAATTAAAATGCCTACCGGCAAGAGCAATAAAATTTGTCTCTTAGACAGTCTTTTGCTATTGATTATGTGTCTGCACTGGAATTGAACATGCAACCTTTATAGTGTGCTGCTTCTACACTCAGGATACAAATCTAAATTCAACATCCTTACCCAATCAATGATCTGTATGTAATGGCTGCAACATTTTAATTGGTCAACTTGATTATGTTTGCTAGAGGAGAAAAGCACTTTGACAGTCAAGTAGATAAAGTACACCAAGGTCTTGTGTTGTCAGCAGTTTTCTCAAGTAATGCAATTTCACACTATTCTTGATAACAAATGCCATTTTAATTGACAATTGGTTGCAGTGCAGTCCTGTTAAACATACAATTCTGGTTTTACCAAAAAGCTACTTGCCAAAAACATGTGGAAAAAAGCCAAATCTTTATCAGCAAAATGTCTTAGGTCAGTATGTTCAGCATTTCACAGCTGGGATAAATATTACCCAAGCTCAAACATTCCGTTATAGACAAATTTTTTTTTTTTAATTAGACTATGTTTACCTAACTAAATAACATACATTTGTGATTGAACCATTAAACTATCCACAAATGGATAATATAATAATCCTCCATGTAACTTTAATTGATTTTAAATAACCGTAGCATTGCTAAATTGCCCAATGAAAACCTTGCAGTATACGACTGTTGGAAATTTCTGGTAAATGTAGATCAGTAACTTTTTTTGTTGTTTTGGTTAGAGTAGAGAGGGTTATAAACTCTGTCTGACCTTTATGGCTGACTTTGTCCATTAGGGAGATATTCCGATTTGGTTTGAGGGGGAAAGGTTAGAACCTCTGTTTGGTTTTTGCGACTGTTTTCTGTCACCCAGTTTGTAATAGGAAGTGGAAAGAAAGCAAGAATTCCTCCAGTAGGATACATACCAAAATAACAGCACTTTAGTCAGTAGAATGAGGAAGGATTAGAACTTTTTTAATGTTTTTATCAGATTTTATGGAGATTTCCTTAGGTCCTCTCACTGTAAATTACTGGATTAGGAAGTGGTTTGAAATCTCCTTGACGAAGACTTAATCTAAATACTTCCATAGAGTGTTTCTGTTTTGACCAATAGGTCATTTTAATGCATGCTTAAAGTGTATTTCCACTTTTGCAGTCAAATTGGGATATTACCTACTTTATATTTGTTACATGTCCACCATTCACATAGCATAATTTTAAAAATTGCAGCTTACTTTTTTTAGATGCTCTATTCTGGACCCTCCAATAAGGAAAAAGCCTACATAGCTCCCTTCAATTAGGGGAGGGAGGCGGCTGGGCAGCTGTGTTTGCTATATTTAACCCTGTCTGTCATATGTTGGCAGATCTTCATTATCAATAACTAAATTTAAATATTGTCTATCCTAACAAATGATTAAAGGTTTAGAAGATGGGCTTCTTGCATTGAATGTTAATATGCACAGATTTAGGACAAGGGATTGAACTCAGTGTTCAGTCCAAAT